AGCTGTGTTCCATATCTTGAAAAATTTACAGTTTAAACAATACTTGATATGCAACTACAATGTAGATTGTGGCAGAATTAGTGGGGACAAAAAGATAAAGTACTCCTAAAATGATTTTTAAAAAGACATGGCAAAAGAAGAAAGGAAGTTTTGAGAGTCAAAAGTTTCAAAGGGATGAAGTTACATAAAATTAATCTACAGCCATGAATTTCCTCCTACAGTACTGGTGAGCTGGATTACTAAAATGTTGGTTTAGCTATTTCATATAGTCATTTATACTTCCCAGTACACATTCCCACTTCCCAGAAACCAGATGCTTTGTTAAGATCAAATTTCCTTTTCTGTTCCTCACATATTAGTACAATGCTTCAGTATTTGGGTTATACTCATAAAGAGGAAGTATAATTTAAAAAAATGTTAATAGTTAATCAAAATAATAAAGAAATAATCCTATGGATGCTAAATGATATATGTACGAGAAGAGTGTTTGCTGATCAAATGGAACTTGTCTTCTTTCTAGCAGGACAAATCAGCTGCGTAAGCCTGGACGTGCCCCAAGCCATCTTTACTGCTGAATTTCAAAGAACCAGCCTGTTTAAAAGATGTGACACTTCACTGAGGAGAAAAAAAAAAAAAAAAAAGGCATGAAGAGTCCCAAAGAACACAGTTTGGGGTATGTGACATGCTGTGCCATGGGAATAGGTCAATAGTTTAGATATATTCCATCTCCCTTACCTATCTTGCACAGGGGTCTACAAAAAGAAAACATCAGTGGGACTGGTGAGCTGGTGGGCTACCAGTCTGGGTAAATGGACCCCACCTCTCATCCTTACAGACTTACATTTTCCACTGTGCTGGAAGCCAGCCATCACCCCAGATAACCAGAATCCAAGAAACTTCTGCTTAGTGTGCCTACATTCCTCGCTTTCCTGCCATGCTGTTTCAGAGTTAGGGAAGAAAGATTTAAACCAGATGCCCAGCATGCTCAGTGGCACACAAGTGCTCGGAGAGGCATATGATAGGAAAGGGGAGGATTCAGAAGGTCAGATGCCAGTATGCTGATGTATGGAGTCATCTGAAAATAGTTATTCAACAAGAAATCTCAGCTTAATATTGTGTCACAGAATTAAAACCAGCAGGCGAACGACAGTGAAACCCTCCTGGCTCAGGAGCACGAGGTGTGCTGGCAGCTCCACAAGGTCCACTCACACCAGAGCACTGGCCATCGGGCCTTGTTTGTCACGGCGTGCATCTCTGTTCCTGCCCTCTGCAAAATAATACATCTGGGACCTACATGAGCTGTTAACAGCCTTCATAGCCACTACGGGAAAGTCTATAAATATAAACAGGAAAAATGGGCTGGCGCCAAAATCTTAAAACTGCAAAGGAGCAAACTCTTGCTTTATGTAAGAAGAGGAATCTCTGCTAACACATTTCTGCTGTGTCCACCGTGTGACAGTTTCACAGTATGGCTACAGAATATGCACACCCTAGTTTTTACACTGGAACCCACAGTACAATCTAATTGTAAGAATGAATATTCATGTAGTGGATATGCAGAAACAGCCATGGTGATCATGTGTTGGGCACAGTGCCGATTTTTGAAAATTGCTGGTGTAACATTAATCGATCCAAAAACACATTATTGTTTTCAAAAGTGTAACTGTATAAATTGAAGTACAATCAAGTTACTAACAGTCTCTCAGGAAGAAAAATCTGCCTCTACAGTCTTCATTGGTAAATACTTATTAGCTATAGGTACCTGAGAAATTATTTGAAAAGTGGTCACAGGACAAACAGAAAACAGCAACAGAAACTATGGAAGAATACTTTTCCTTATTTCAAACATAGTACAAAATCGCAGCTGGCTTACAAAACAGTGACAGTGCAAGTCAGTCATTGCCAACTCCAGAATAAAATTCTATTACTTCAGTCAAAAACACAACGTGACGCTGTGAGCTACTACGTTGCTTACAGTCAGGTAACCTATTCCTGAATTTTGGAACGGGAAACAAAGCAGTGACAGTTTAACATTCAGCCATTCCTGCAAGCATGCCAGCACACTCAGACTGGGCAGCTAACACATACCGTCATTTATCTGCTATAGAGTTCCTTCCTCACGCAGGATTTGAAAGTAGTATACCTCTGTATAGGTTTGTAGCCCTGTGGAGCAGAAGATGGAGAAGTGCGCAGATGCAGACAACACGTGAAGGCAGCCAGAGGTAAGCGTAAGACAACAGTATCATGAAAATACAAAAAAATGGCTTTAAGTGACGAATAGCTAGAAGATACAGTATACTATGTGCTAGATACAATGTTTATAATTTAGTCATTAAGTTCCAAATCTTTCAGTTTAAAAATGGAACTTATAAAGGAAAGGGAATCTTCTTAAATATTTTTAAATTAAAATAAAAGAAAGGAAATAACTATTTTAAACCAAACAGCAAGCAAAAATAAAGCTTTTCATGTCTGCACGTTTTAGTAAGTTTATGGCAATACTCTGACTGACCACTTGATGGCAGCTTAATATACTAGTTTGTTTCAAACTACTAAAACCAAAAAAGGTTTCTGATTTTAATACTGTATTCCAGAAAGAGAGAAATTTCATTTGATGACCTCTTTAAGACATTTAATTTTCCAAAAACATATCTAAAATATATGTTAAAATGAGTATTTATTATGTTCCTATAAAGGGAGTACCTGACCTTCCTCAAGTTTATATGTTTATGGTTAATGTTAAGCTTTTAAATAGGACAAAGCTGGTAGGTACTGACTGACCTTGCAGAACTCCAGTTTCGTTGGACTTATGTAACTCTTTGCTCTTAAATACGTTTGCTTTAGTTACACTATGTAACTACAAAATGCTCTTTTCTAAAATACACGGTCCTAGTACCAAGCTCTGTATGCCCTCAAGATTCTTCTGGGCAAACATTTTAGTAAAATAACTTTTAAAAAAGTTGAATTACTAAGTAGAGGCTAAAAATTGTACTTCAAATCACAGGCCTATTTTAAACTGTTATTTTTAAATGTTTTTAGAGTGATAATCAGAGATGGCATTGATTTGGGCAGACATTAATTGTAGGATACTTAACATTAAAAACCAGCATTTACACTTCATAAATAGGCTCAAATTTCTCACGAAAAAAAATTCCATGTTGCTACAAAATACTGCATAAGCAGAAGCTATAATGTTTTTTTTATCTGTATAATGGAACTGACCAAATCTTAACATAGATTTGAAACACAGTTATTAACAAAGAAAAAGTTAGTGATTTGTTAGTTTTGATTTAGCACAAGACAACATTTCAGCCCTCCACATTGTAGGAGCAAGAGGGTAAACTTTTACTTGTTCTGGCCACACTAAATACTGTGTAACTTTTAATGTACAAACGACAGGAAGCAATTAATGACACTTTCTGCCAATTTGTTCTGAGCAAAAGGTTCTTAATGTGTTTTCTTGTTTTCATTCTAAACAAAGATTGGGGTGAGTGGGGGGTGTTTATTAAACAGATAAGGCTAATTTTTGCAGAGTTTTTACTACTACTTGCTCTTGGAAAAATCAGATTGTGTGACACTTAGGAAAACTTACTGAAAATTGTAATTCCTAAATTTGGTACTGCAATTGTCTTGGAATACTACTGGTTAGTGAAGAGGATGCATTTTTCTGAATAATCTAAGAAGTCTGCATGTAGGCATGTCTGAATATAACTGAATTGTAGGACCAAATCATGATGACCTCCTATGCAATCCAGGAGATTAGACATATTAGACAATTAAAATTAGACACATCATTTATGAAAGACCGTGCTATTCTTCTCAACACCCTTGGCTATTCTTTATAGCTCTTTTACAGTCCACTGGAGTATTTTGTAGTGGCCTAGGCAAAAGAAAGATACATGCATAAGACTGAATAGTGCTGGATGATATAGACTCTTAAGGATTATATGTGATTTCTGTCATGCATTTTGTGAAATAGAAACATGTAATACATTTACAAGAATTACTTAGTAAGCAGACTGTTTTCTGGTTAAATTAACATACACTGCACACTTACAATTAGTAAACAATTAAAACATATAGCTGAACATCTTGAAACAGTTATGAAACAATCATCATTCCCACACCATACTAAAAGGAATTGAGGACCAACAAGGAAGTAAGTTTGTTACGAATGAAGTGGTTGTTATCCACATTTTATATTTGACCATAATATTACAAAAATAACAAGTAAACTATTAGACTCAACACCACTTCACAGAAAGTTCTAAAATTCTATTTAGGAAGCTAACGAAAAATGGCTAAAATTACATTACTGAAATAACACTAAAATGTGAATTTAGGAACCATAATACAGTTTAAGATTTATGTCTAAGGGATTAGGTTGTCAGTAAGAACACCATTTTATATTTAGTTAAAAATGTTAACACCTGAAGAAAAAAAAGTGACTTTTATTGATCATACTCTACTTAAAAATTTTTCTGCTACTATAAAATTCCCCTGTACTACACAGAACCTGAAGAGGGCAGCAAGGCCTATCTATTCACCTAAAAGGCAAAGCACGATTTACAAGCTTGTTCCCTATGAAAGTTTTCTGCCAGTAATTTCCTGCCCTCTAGCTCCTTGTAATTTAATATATTAGATACAGGGTTAAATTATCAAAAGCAACTTTGAAATAGTTTTTTACCGCTTCACTAATTCTTTATTTGAAAATTAAAACCGTGTTCTGCTGCAACTCTTTCCAACAGTCATTGTCAACGCCTGGTATTTTAAATAATGTTTTAGAAGAGTCAATGGTTGACCTTTAACTAAACTGCCTCAGTTTGAGGGAGACAAATTCTCTTATCCCTGCAAACAACCCAGACATAATTGCCACCCTTGTTAAAATTCTTAATGCCAATCTATCAATCACACAATACAGAAGAAATTATAGCATGCAGAGGATTTCTCATCTCCACTTTGGTTTGTGTACGATAAAGATATATTATGTCCTCTATTTATTGCTTTCTAATAAAAAAATCATGAATTTAAGAAAGAATTTATCTTAGAGACTGCTTCAGAATTTCTACAGAACATATGTCTTTAAACATACGCACTGCACTGTTGGTTTGCAGCCTACTGGTGCTACAGGTGCTAAAGTAAGTACTGGTAAGTAGTAAAGTCAACTAAGATAACTATAGAAATTAGAATCCTTACCCTAAACCCTCGATTGAGCCTGTCTTTCATAATGCCAATAAATTCTTTATAACTCAACTGGTCATCTCTGTCGACATCAAAAATCTTGAACACTGTGTTCACCAAATGTGGTGAAAGCTTGACACCTGTGGCTACATACACAGCACGTTTGAATTCATCTGCAGAAAGAGAACATCAGAAGAAAAAATAGAATACATTAATCCTACTTTGTAGACAACATATTATGAAACATTAGTAAACTTTTAACTTAATGTGAAAATTAGCGTTGAATTTCAGAGTTCTAAATCAAGTAGTTCTCAACTGATATAAAATGATACTACTTAATTGGTATCAATTATTTTACACAAAAGATCACAGTCCATATACTATGCGTAAGAACAAAATTAGAAAATCATATTATAATTAAATCTATGTTACATATATACTAATGGGGTCTACTTAATTGACACAGAACCTAAGAAATAGAGCACAGAGAAAACAGTGTACTCCTTTGGTAAGGCCACATGAGGTAAGACTATGCTGGTGTTACTGTGTCAGACCCATGAAGATGCTGCTTGAGGAGAGCACACAAGTCTGACCACTTCACATATTCTTCACCTTGCACTTCCCAAGCATCTCAACTGTTATATTAAGGATTTTAGTCAGTACATACCTGCCTAGTTCTTTCAGCACCCTCTTACTGATTTGTTAAAAAATCTGCCTAAGCCCTCTTCGGACCTTCTGACACTGTTTCTTTAGCACAGAGAAAACAGTGTACTCCTTTGGTAAGGCCACATGAGGTAAGACTATGCTGGTGTTACTGTGTCAGACCCATGAAGATGCTGCTTGAGGAGAGCACACAAGTCTGACCACTTCACATATTCTTCACCTTGCACTTCCCAAGCATCTCAACTGTTATATTAAGGATTTTAGTCAGTACATACCTGCCTAGTTCTTTCAGCACCCTCTTACTGATTTGTTAAAAAAATCTGCCTAAGCCCTCTTCGGACCGTCTGACATTGTTTCTTTCTACAACCTTCATAGAAGCCCAGACGCCCACTGTGTAAAGAAATGCTTTTGTTTGCTTTAAACCGATCTATTATTGGTGTCGTCAAGTGCCTCTTAACTCTTGTATTGTAGGATTTGATGACTCCTGCATTCAGCTTATCCACCACTTCTATGACTTCATAAATCTTTATCATATCTCTTATGATATGACTGCGCCTTCTCCTCTCAAAGCTGGAGTCCTAGCCTTTTTAGCCTTTTACCTGAGACATTAAAACTACAAACTAGGAATTACAAAACATTTTTGTATTTGTGTCAACAGTTCTGTATCTTAATCAGCAGATTTTTATAAAAATATAAATACTTACCTTGACCTATGGAACGACTTGCAAAATTATACATTTGCATTGCAATTGTAAAGTCTTCTAGGTTGTTCAAGAATTGGAAAAATGATCTAAACTCATCAAATGTGATACCCTAAAAAATAAAAGAACAATATGCACCGTAAGAATTATCAGTAGTGATGACACTGAATAAATAAACCTTGCAGTTACATATACCTATTTCATTTAAGAATAGATACTACACCCATTGAAAAATAATAGATTTTAGTCAATAAAGTCAATAAAGCAAAGAATTGGAGTCTCCTGATGAATGAAAGATGTCTCTCCTCTTTGTCACTGCAACAGATAGCAATTCACACCCAAAAAGCAGTCAAAAATATTGTTCCGTTGCTGAAGGCAATCTTTAAGAATTCCAGGATTATTACAATACAGCAGTTAATATTGAGAATAAGAGTCTAGGTTTGTGTGAATATTGGAATATGTTAACTACTGAAAACCTGCAAACCACTATTATATATAAGTGAGCGTGTGTGCTCCCATGAATACATTGAATGAATTCATAAATACATGTTATGATCTAACTTAAGCTCTGTACTTTAAGGTGAAGTTTTTACATGTCCAGATTTAGACACCTAGGTCTATTCAGCTGATACTCCAAGTATCAAGTATTGCAGGGTTTGTCCAGCTTTTTAAAAGATCTTTTGCATTTTGACCAGACTTCAGAATATCTTCTGTGAAAGTTCCTCTGAAAATGCTATTGTTAAAGGAGCTTATTTTTGATTCTTTCCTTATATTTGTTCTGCTTTTCTCTCATCTTAGCTACAAATCCAAATACCGATAAACTATCCCTAAATCAATTTTGAAAGACACCTTAAACAGAGACTTTGAATTAAGCCAGGACCATTGCCTATATCTCATTCTTCATGGTCTGTCAGCAATTCTGAACACAGGATGGCATTCTTCGTCAAACCTTGATCTCCCTGGCCTTCTTTAACTATCATTCCTGGCTACTCTTCTGTCTGCTTTTATCCTTTTATCTGATTTAATGGCTTCTCTCTGAAAATAAACCTGAAGACAACAGAAAGACCTGTGCACCTTTCTGTTCAAACTAACATCTTGACCTACATCTCTCCTCAAAGATATACATAGTCATTATGGTATGGTGGAACACAGAAAACATACTCAAGTAGGTTTGTGGCAGAGGAGAAAACGGCAGATGGTGGGTGTAAACCCATATGAGACAGCAAGTACTGTGGTAAACATGGAGAGCAACACAATATTGTTAAAATAAAAGACTTTAATAGGCCTCCACCCACTTGAGATGTAAACCACTGCTTAAGTGATCCTACTTAAGCTCTAGCTAAGATTTATAAACTATTTGATTGGAGAGCTTGACCCTTATCCACCATGAATTGCTTTTCTCAACAAGCATATTTGTTCTCTGTTTCATCCTTTGCAATTGGGAGGAAACACTCATAGACACAAGCAGAACCACCTCCTTATTCTCCTTTGGATTTTTATCTTAAAAGCTTAATTTACTAATACTAACCAATACCATTTTCTTGTTTCATTGCATTTGACACCTAACAGTTTATGTCCAAGTTCTGTTTCTTGCACTCTGTTTAGACTGAAAACTCTCTGGGACTGGAATAATTTTGTCTCATATTTGTGAAATACCTACATCAGTGAAACTTCAATCCCCAACTAGGACCCACAGGTACTATGGCAAAATAGCGATAATAGAAAATGGCCATCAAAGTCTTGAGCTGAGATTTGTAGGTTCACAATGATTTTTAAAAATCCTTAATTTGCAGCAATTTGTCTGTAAAGATTCTGAATGTGGAAGATACTATAAGAGGTCAGGCTACTGCAAAAATCTTGGCTCTTTCCATGTAGCTAGAGAGAAGATGATCAGTCTAGATGGGAAGTAGCCCTTGCATAGGTAAGGCTGAGAACCACTGGTCTACAAACAAGCCTTTCTGCAGCTTCTGTGTTTCCAGCAGTGATGAAAACTGCTGCCATGAGTTGACATTGGAGATGAAGCAGGGAGATAAAGGAGCCACACCTGCAGTCCATGGCTGAACTGTACATACTCCACAACATTTTAGGAATGAGAAAAATATCTGGCTTCATTTTAGAGTTCTACAATTTCTGCTGAAATCATCTGCAATCATACATGTTTATTTCCCCTCAAGAAAAAACAGCAAAGGACACAAAAGAGGCAGAAGGGTAGGCAAAATGACACTCAGTTGGGCATAGAGCATTCTACTCTCTCTCTCTCCTTTCCTAGGACCATATTTTGTTCAACTGGTAACTGTAATAACATTTTGCATTTGCCATATGCTTTGCATTTTGACATACAAAGTTATCTACGTGTAGCTATCCCAGAAGTTTCCTACTGGAAACTATTTATTTTCTGTGTTAAAGGAAACTAACTTTTTTATTTATTTCGACAGATTATATTTTACTACAGCAAAGAAATGTGTTACATTAATGCACCAATGCTGTTAAAAATGCATAGACTTTCCTTAGAAGCTGATATTTGTAGTAATTCAAGATGTCAGCTTAAATGAATCACTGCTTGGCATCTAGTTAGTAAAAGGAGGAAAATATCCTGTGAGCAGGCAGCATGCCAGCTGAACATTTTAACATGACTACAGTATGCCAAATGATCATCGCGTTGCTTTTGAGGCTTCTACATACAGCGCCATGGAAGATTAACATTGCCAACTGTGAGAGTAGCTGCCCATTACTTTAGAGGCTAGACTGATTTTTCTTCTAAATGGAATCCTCTGGTTTGTATTAGTACTGCAGCATACCACTGTAATAAAATAGAGAGTACATTTTATACTTTTTGAAGTATAATGTTATTACAAGTGCAAAACAGTGCAAACATATGAACAACACCTCTATGGCAATAAAAGGTCAAGTCCCATTCTCAAAAGCCTGTGGCCAGCACAAGAGATGTCACAGGGATTTACTTTTTCCACAGTACTGATAGCACATTTACCAAAACAGTGATATGGAGCTATGGAAAATGGCAATGTCTTGTTTTACTTAATGGAGGTATAGCATATGACATACAGATATATGGCACTGGTCAAGTGCCAGGATATTCCCAGAATACAGCATAAGCAAACCCGTAACTGAGTGACACAGCTTTCTATGTGGAAGTTTTCCTTAGCTGATGGTCCCATCAGAGATGAGAAGAGGAAACTATTGTGCAAGACTTGCTATCAGAACAGTGGCACTTCGAAAACTTAGAGATGAACTTCAAAGAATACTTCCTTGTGTTTAAAAGAAAGAGTCAGTATTTATATTTACTTAACTTCACCTTTGCCATTCAAAGAAGTATATCTCTATACCTATCACTGTCATTATTTTTCAGTTACCCAAGTGATACTTACATCATTGTTGTTATACAAGCCCCAAAGTGATTTTTTTTTTCAGATTTCCATGTATATGGAAATCTTGATTTCATCCTAAGTAAAAAACATCTGGGAACCAAGCAAAAAATGCTTTATACCATTGCTGTTGCATTGTCTTAGTTTTCAATATTGAAAGCTGCGCAGACCTTTTAGAGTAGTTAGAACTGGGCGCCTCAGCAGCTAGACTGGGAACTCCCAAAGGGTCAGCGAGCAGGAACTCTGATCCCAATCTTCCCGCTTCATCTTACACCTTATTTGGTGCAAAAGAGACAGCCCTGCTTTCCCTTTCCACTCCACAGCTATATTTACCTCTCAGTGGACGTGACTGCTGTACAACCACAGAAAGAATCAGATAATTCAGAAATTTGAACAGAAAACTGTTGATTTTTGGAGTGTGTTTCTATCAGGTCAGCTGACTGATCTTACTTAATTACTCTGTGAACTGAAATTACAATGCAATTTCTCAAATAAAAAAACAAAAAAACCTGTCCAAAACAATTTATTACTCTTCTTCACAAGCTCTGCTGTCAATGCTATCAAAATACTAGCTATTGAAAGAATTAGATTTCTAGGACAGATTAATCTGATCTCCCTCTGTAAACACAAACAGAAGTATATCCAAAACATCCCTTATCTGAAAGGCTACTTTTAATGTTATCCTATCAATTGCCATCGATGCATAGTTGCCACTACATTTCTCTCAGATATACTTCTGACAACACAGTTGTTGTTAAACAAATGAAGGACTATCTACCTCATGACCTTTACTGTTTTTATTATCTTTTCTATCTCTTCAGTCATTAATAAGAACCACATACCCATCAATAATTATATAGAAGTAATCCATTATTAAGACTATAAAACAACTATATAAAGGGTGTCAATGTTATTTCTGAAGAGGTGCTATTCCAGTGGCAGTGCAAAAGAGAAGTAAGAAAAAAAAAGGTTTTTTAATGCCTCATTGCTAGAAAATTGTTCTTTTTCAAGTCTTATGGTTTTTGCTGTTTAAACTGAATTTTCATGTAATATAAAGCTTTGTTATCTAAACTGCAAAAATATTACTAGCTAAATCCTATGGAACATAATTCTATGCTATTTACTCTTCTATTTTGTATTCAGCAAAGAATCTGAAAAACATGAGACACACAGCTTATCATCAGAATAAATTCCTGGTGCTAATTAATTCAGTGACAGAATCTCATTCAGTCCAACAGTGCTATGTTTTCATCTTGATGACACTGGGACTGGATGCTGTGGCCCACTGCTGTCCTAGCTAAACAATTACCTTTTCTTCAGGAATCCTGCAGCGCATGTTTTCCAGGTAACTTGATGTATTTTCCACGTTTGTATACCTCAAAAGAATATGGGCAAAGTCTTCCTCACTGATGGTGTTCATCCCATTAGAGTAGGAAAGGAATTCTATCTCTAGAACCTCAGTTTGTAGGTTATCCATAAATCTAAAGCACAAACATAAAGAAATAGTAATACTTTATATTTCACTATTCATGTCCTTAGAAGACTCATAGAATATAAAGCCAAATAGCATTATACCAATTAGTTCCCTTTTCATAGCACTGATGGTAAATTTGGTAAATCCCTCACCTATGTTGACCTATTTTCTAATCAATACAACAATCTTAATTCAAAGATGAAGTGTTTTAGTAAGGATTAAAATGACTTAATACTTACATTTCTGATTTACTTCTAGTTTGTGTTTGCTTAATTTTCTTCTTCAGTGGGTCACCGATCTTTATTTTTATATGCTAGACTGAAAATTCCATCATGGTACTCAATGAATTCCTGAAATTTACTCCCCACATAGTTACTTACAGATTGCGATTAAACCTTACCTTTCTCTTTTTAACAAGCTAAGTATGATGAGCTCTTGCAGCCTTTCAATCTAAACTTTTTTTTTTTAATACTTCACTATTCTTATGATATTTCTATAAACTCTTCCCAATTTAACAATATACTTAGTATATTCTGGACACCAAAACTGGATAAAGTATAAATCCATCTATATATAAAAAGGAAATATAACTACTCTGATTCTGCTTGATGTCCTAGTTATACAGCCAAGGATGAAATTAGCTCTCTGGTGGCAGTACTGCACTGGGAGCTCATGTTCATCTGATTGTCATCCAGAACCTGTAACACTTCCCTGTTACAGGTTCCCAAGAGCTCCCATCCTATAGATGCCTGCAACACTCCTTCCTAATATGTAACTTGACTTCTAAGAACTATGAGGGGCTCAAATCAAAAGGATGTCTAGGCAAAAGTGTAAGTGCAAGGTAAACATACAGTAGTATTTCCCTCACCAATCCATAGTATAATGAATTTTTTGAGCTCGTAAAGTAGCGTTGAATAAAACTTGATGGATTTCTCTTTCATGAATATGTCTGCTAGGTTTTGACCTCTTTAGCATTCACAACATCTTACAGCAATAGACATTTTAACTAGATGCCTTTTGCAAAACTACCTTCTTTTCTGGTTCTTGTTCTGAACTCACATCATGATTTCACTTGATGACACAGTTTTTATGTTATGTGAAATACTGAACACTTTTCATGACGTACATAATTTTAAGGCAAAATATTTTGCAAGCATCTGTTTGATTAGAATGCACAGTTAAGTGGTAACTATAAAGACAACAGGTATTGGGAGTATTTACTGAGGAAACAATAACCACACACTGTATCTCTCTCAATCACACAGAAACATACAGTTTTATGGCTCTGTTTTTATGGCACTCTCCCTATATTTTTAAATTCTACTTTAACTGGTGTAATAATTAAGCCAATAGTTTCCATTGTGTTTTGACTTTTGCCCAGAAGCTTGTTCTAAGGTGCCTACATGATATCTTCATAAAAATCTTTACATTTAAATATATCCCTAAAAGCAGAGATGCACACAAAGTTTTTTTTAAAGCACTGACAAACGGGGTGGGGGAGAGGAGGAATTCAAAACCAAGAAAAAAATTCCTACATACCAGTAAGGACAGGGTTGGGGTATAACCTCCCCGCCCCAAACCAACTACGCACAAAAGTGCTAACAAAATTTGCAGGTGCAGCAGCACTAGTACAGGACTTTTTATTGTTGGTCCATTTGTTGTTTTATTTTGCTCTTTGTATATATAACGCACACAAAGCGAACATAAACTTTATATACATGTCTGCATAAACTATGTGTATAGTAATATGATACACATTAATTAGAACAAGCATGCAAGTATTTTTTTACAAGGAATTAATAAAGTTGAGACTCACCTATAAAAGTCTTCAAAGTTCAGTTCAGCTTTTCCTTTCTTGCCGAAAAAGTGTACAAGCAGTGTAGTATCTGACAGTGAACTTGAAATATCATCAGCACGCTTAAATATTAGAATAAAAAAAATTGAAGGCCATCATTGGATCAGTTACAGAAGTATAATCTGAGAATGCCTATCATCACAATAGACCTTTCTATTAAAAGAGTTTGTGTTTTATGTTCACAGTCTTAAAAAAGACTTTAGTATTAAAATCCATTAAATTAATTTAGTCATGCAATTTTCACACAAAATAGCATTAGGCTGTTAATTGCATTTAGTACAAAACACTTAAAACAACAGTATAATATAATGGAAGGTGCAATGAAGGGGGAAAAAGCATGAAAAATAAAACCAGAAACTCTTGAGAAAAAAAAACGTACTAGTCAGTTGAAATAAACCGTAAAAATAACTCCCTTTGTACACAATCTCCTTCCCTTCTACTATGCAACGACAAAGAAGTTAAAGAAAGTTACTTCATATACTCTTACTTGATATTTCAAAATTATGAGATTGTATTCCAAAACCACTCACATCAGTCAGGTGTACTTTATATGACTCTCTTCTGTAAGTAGCAGATGACTACAGTTTACATTTTATTGCCCAAATATATTTAAAACAACAGAATCGTAAGAAATTTTGAAATAATGACATAATACTTTGATTCATTCTCTTAAGAACGTTCCTCATCTACTGAGTATGTGGTCTCTGCATCAGACAGGAAACTGTGAACATGTACTAATACTTTTTCCTTAAATAAATATCAACTTTGAAGGCACAGACTTATAATAGTAAAACGAACTAACTTTGACCATTTGTAACAGCAAGAGTTGCAAATAGGAAGACATGCATATAAACAGAAGTAACTATCATCAGTGTATAAACAGAAGTAACTATCATCTGTGTATAGTGATTGTGCAACATTCCACTTTTTTACTACATATTCGTTACCCTTAATTGTTGTGTATGGGCATTGATTTTATCTCTTTTACAAAGAAACTCTTGATACACTGAAGAGCTAGAAAAATAATTCAGTAATATAAGGCTCTTAAATAAGCCATAGTATTCCACCATGGCTATGTCCTTCTGGCATTAACATACATCTGCCAACATCTGAAATTCAAGAAGTAATATATTTAGTCTCCTTGCTGCACCTGCCTAGGGAGAACCTTCTGTCTGAGCTCTCGTTTTTCTTACAAAAATCTTATGATGGCAAGCTACCACCCATCAGCAACACCATATTTTTGTGGAAGTGTGCCTGCTGACTCTACTGTTTAAAAGTACAAAACAGAGTACACAGTACAGAAACCTAGCAAGTATCTGGGAGATGTAACAGTACTAATTTATCACCATAATGATAGATTATAAACCTATGGGTTTTACTGTAAGTATAAAAAACTGTTTATACAGATCTATAAAGATCTGCATATACAAACCTTAAAGCTACACTCAAGAGTCCTTTAAGTCTGACTTTATTTCATAACTGAAGAGTCTATAAATTTATAACAGATGGAGAAACTCTAAATGAAGAAACCAGGAAGAAATTTTGAACAGTATGCAGTAGTTCAACGTCATGTACCATAGAAAACCATTTCATATCTACATTCTCTGAAACAGACTATATTAATTTCAAATTTACATACTGATTTGTAAAAAAAACATAAAATGCAATATGCATTAAGAGTATTTATGTATCAACAACAAGGAAAAACATGAGGCAGTAACAACACAAATCCTTTCCTTTCAACACCCATGAACTAAAGAAATGGGAGAGACTTTTCTGTACTTTGGTATAATCAGTTTAGGATTCTCAAGATTGTATTTCATGTACTCTAGCTTCCTCTTTATTCTCATATTCTTCTCCAGGGAGAAATAAGATGACATGGTGTATATATAGGTAGAAAGATATTTCATGTCCTTCAATTAAGACAGCTCTGCTCTTCAAGTGAGCAAACTAATTCAGAAAAGTAATCACTATTTGTCTTTTAATATTGTTATCCTCCACTACAGGACACAATATACTGAAATGCAGATACCCTGATTTCTTGTGTCTTTTAAGCAATTAAATCCCTAAGCACATTCAAACAATTTCCCTCAAGTACACTGAAAAGATATCAAATGTTAAATTACAGCCTTTCATCTTGCAAAAACATTTCAAAACCTTAGACTTAGGTTGCATTCATCCATATCTAAAGAACCATTTAAAAAAAATACAATCTGTAAGTCTTTTCACAATTCCCATTTGGTCAGCCTCACTATATGAAAAAACCCCAAACAAAAACCTCGCCCCAGAAACTCAACCCAGTGTGCTTCTCTGTAGAATTGCAGGCAACTGAAAACTATTCCTGTGCTCCTTCTGCTTTGAAAGCATTATATAAATTCTCTCTCTTAAGGGGTAAGGGTAAAAACAAAAGCCTTAATCATTTAAAACTATTACTTACTGTTCATAATAAAATGAATTTTGTACTTTACATCAGTGAAAATGCAATGACCGCACCTGTTTCCATATATACAAATATGAGACTCTATTTTGATCTAATATATTTTGAAGTCTTTTACATGAGAATAAAAACCTGCCTCGCTTCTCCTTACCTTCATACTAACTGCAATGCAAGTACAGGTAAAGAGACAAACAGGAGAGACAAGTGTTTCAGTCACATTATTGGCTTGCTGCATAATGGCAACACCTTTTCCTCTCAATTCCCTAACCTGAAGAGCAGTAAATCTACTTTGTTTACATTCTGAAAAATTCATTTCAAGCTTTTGATTAAAGAGAGTCAACTAAAGGTAAATTAAACTCATGAGTGATGGTCCACTTGTTGCAACATACTCTGAGAATGAAGTATGCACATTATGCTTGGAGTTAGGAAGAGATTTCTTACTGCAAGTCGTTGATTTTTCAATAGTGATAATAACCCTACTGATTTCCAGTCTCAGTAGTTTAAGAATAAACCCACAAACTAAACTCAGTGGTAAATGGCATATTCCAACAGGATAGTGTAGCTGCTTTAAATTAGGAATAGCAGAAACAATACTGTAAACTGCCCTAGAAAGAAACTGGGTGTGATGAATAATGTCTTTTTTCCCCCAAAGAGACCTTATAAGTTCATTCTCATAACAATGAACTGTATTTACTCTCCTTTTCAACTTACACAAGGCCTTTTCAAAAGGCTACGAAACAACATAGACTCCAGTGTCACCTAGCTTTATGCCACTTTCTTAGTACAGAGGACTATAATATCATTCAGATGTGAGAGTACCTGGGAGAGAGAAGCACATGGATGAAAGCCATCCGGCTCAAACTTAAACCAAGCAAGATAAAGATTATGGTGAGAAGTGGGAAATTCTCAGCAGAGGAAATGAAGGATATACAATTTTTTTCATAAAATGAATTAAAAATTAGCAGAGAGACTTTTTATACATTTTACAGACAATTTAAATCAATGTTTAATATAGCTGCTGTTAAGCTTCAATTACATTGTAGGTTACAGATACTAGCCTGAGGTATCAGATGCAAAAAATCTCTCTCTCCTCAAATAAAAGGCATGTAGCGATTACTAAACTTAAGTCCATCTATTTTTGGGACTGAATTCATGCCAACTAACTGTAGATTACAACAATAGTTAATTCAGAAAACTGAGGGCCCCAAGTTCCTTAAATAGTCAATGAAAAGAGCAGCCCTCTCTCCCTCCTGTGTCTCCCTTAGCTGACTAGACAGGAACACTAATGTTCTGGGCTTTAAAATTTGGTGGAATAAATAAGGACTAATAACTGGACTAACAGCTCAGGAGCTCATCAATTTAAAAGCGAGGAAAGAAAGGCTGGGTATACTGCTTTATTGCAGGATTACTATGGATGTATGAATATTGCTATAAATGTTGGTCTAAAACTCAGTTCCATAATACTACATTTTGTTTTGTTCAAAGGCAAATGAACTCAAGCTGACAGAGGTACAGAGAAAGCCTATTTGATACCTGGGAAATCTAGGTTCTACCTTAAAGAGAAAAATCAAAGACCCTGTTTTGTTTAGCCTATGATAATTAAAACTGTGGGCTATGATGGGCATTTATAAACACAACCATGAGTAAGAAGGTCAACACTAAAGAAGAAAAAGCCCTATGAAAATTAAGGGACAACAGACTGGTATAAAGGGATTATGAGTAAATTTAGCCTGGAAATTACAAAAAGTCCATCCAAGTCCTCAGGTTATTCAATAGCTTCTGCAGAGGAACAGCAGGGACAAAACACTAATTACTTTTAATATGGAGCACACATTGCTTACGAAGCAAAGAAAAAGATTGTTTTACCCTGGAGGTCCATTTCAGTTCCATGTTCTTTTCTCATTATGATCCTGCTTATGAAGCATGGGACTTGAGACCAGAAAGTCAGTGGGGAGTTAATGCCACAACGAGCAGAGCAATCACCCTCACTGTATGGGGCACAGAAAAGCCTAAATGATCTAGTTTTCTAACCTGCTTAGATGATGAGTACAAATAAATGTCTTACTCAATTGTTTGAAAGCATATCATGAAACAAGAATCTGATTAGATTTTCAAGAACTATGGAAATTAATTTGACAGCACAGTGATATTGCTAGTCTTCCATAATGATTGTGTAATATTCAAAAAGACTGTTTTGGTTACCTTAAAACATTTCTGGTTCAATTGAACAATTAAAGCAATCTTTGCGCGATACTGTTTTTGTGAAGATAAGTTTTGATAACATACAGAAAAAGCATGTTAAGGACCTAAACATTAAAAGCTTAAAGGGCTGCAACTCTCATTAAAGTTGGCACATCACTGGACCAAGTCTAAATGCCAAAGGTTTCCTGAATTATTGCTCTAACTGTGAAATGCTGTCACTATTAGTGTCAGAAAATGTTTTTTACAATTAGGACTGAAGAGGACTCAATCTTCCAACTCTTTCAAAAGGTAACTTTGCTTTTACTTGGATATGAGAACTCTGAATTATTGCACTGCATAGAACCAAATCAATTTCATCTGAGAACCTTCAGGTTTAAAAAAAATAATTAAAAGGAAGAAAAGAAACAAAGTGCATAAAATAGGAAAACAAACAGAACAGAAACAAATAAAATAGCCGTCTGTTTATGGACCAGAGACAGAGGTTGTCTTATACCTCTGCAAGGTCCGAAAAGAGTGCTTGGCTTGTGCTACGTCTCAAAGTATCCCAATAGCTTCTGGGGACAAGGTCCTCTCCTTCTGTTTTAAGAACCTGCAGAAGTTTCAAGAAGCACAATCATTTGAAAACCAAAGAACAATGAAACAACTGCTTGCAGACTTTAAAATATTTTCCAACTGATGTTCAAAAGCATGGCTTGACTCTTTTGCTTCTACAAAGAGAAATTTCTACCCAGTTACATGACACTTAGTAAATCAGAGGAACACTAGTATATTACAGCTATTTGCTGATTACTCGTAACTTGGCTGTGCCAAAAGTATCACCAGACTCCACTTTTCCAAACAAAATAATTTAGAGAAAATATTTATCAAAAGTAATATGCGAAAACATCCTCTAAACTCAGTATTTTGCAGTTGTTTTTCCCAACAATTCTATTTTGCCAAAAAATATTAATTTATATTCTTATGATATGAAATTTGTTTTCCCATTGGTCAAAATATAAATGCTACCATCTGATTAGTTATATAAAATTAATTTCATCCAGTAATCAGGGTGACATCCTTGCAACAATAAAGAAAAGCAAAAAGCAAAAAGCAAGCCTAGTTAGTCCAACTTCAACTGTAACATACTTAGCAAGAGAACACTAATGATCAAACTTACCTTGTTTAAATAGAAAGTAAGTGTTTAATCTCTCCAAGGAAAATACGCTTACCTTTTTGCTCTGAAATGTTTCGTATTTGGAAACCTGAAAAATCCTCCCTTATCAAAACAGGCCTTCCTCTACCTTGCAATTAGTCTTCGAAGATCTACCTAATACACTTTTCTTTGTTTCCCCAAAGAGTCTAGGGGAGGTGATCCTAAAGACAGCAGAAGGCTATCTGAACTTGATTAGGGTTATTGCAACTGAATGCATTTTCCCCTTTCTCTCCAGAAGTCAATGTAAACTAGGTCTTCTACTTTCAGGGCTTCCCACTCCTGTCCATCTGGGCACGCAAGACAAAGACAGAATGAATTTAGTCTTCTAACTGCAAACAAAAACTTTTTTTTTTTTTTGAGTCAGCACATACTATTCTCTTAGAAGATTTACACTGATGCGAGTGCTGTATGATGTGTAAAACCACATCGTTATCAAGGCTACGTTACAGAGCTGAAGGTTTATTGACTCTATGTATTCCACATTATGTCAATCATGGAAATATAAATTTAATTCTTTAAACAGTTGAAATATAGTATGATTTCTATTTTTCTACTCTCCCTTAACGTTCTTTAGCACAGTATCTCCTCAGGTAACAGGTCTTCAATATGCTTGCAGTACATCCCGCAGTGATACAGAGTTACATGAGTGAAGACATTATTTAAGGGCTCTTACCACACTAATGGGGCTCAGTGCTTATGGGACCACCTTGTATTAATTTGCTTCAGCTATATTTTACATGTTTATAAAAATGCATCTGTATATGAATCATTATGTAAATTTACACTGCATACAAGTAACACTCTTAGTCCTAAAGAAACATTTCAGCAGTAAGTCAGTATGCAATTTAAAAAAAAAAGATTAAAAGGTATTAAGATATTTAATATGAAGTGTGTCTGGCTGCAGAACACCGCAACATGTTTGCTAGAAGGAAATACGCTAAATAATCCAATTTTTTTTTCAATTTGTGTAACTCTTCTGCAAGTTCTATTCTTTCTCCACTAACAATTCAACTCAGCTCCTTCTGTCATCAAAGAAACATGACAAACTACCAGGAATTATATCCATGCTTAACGTATATTATACTTTTTTTTCCTTTTTGAAAAATTCTGGTTTTATCTTTCTCTTATTTTGGAGTACCAGTTCCTACATTGTGGCCACAGTATTCTCATAACTCTGTTCAGTCCTGAACTGCTAAACTCAAAGAAATTGGTTTATTTCAGTGCATACAGGATTAGATCCTTAGGGCCTCAGTTTCTCTCTTACACTTATTTATCCCTTTGGTATTTACTGGGTTATGTGTATGAACAACACCCCAGTCCTTTAACCATAAAATAATGTAATATAGCTCTTTTAAGTATTCACTGAATTTCTTCTCTTACTGGAGACTTACTTTAGCCAATGGAATTAGTATTTCCGGGCATGCACATTTGATTCTCCTTACATGCATCTCATCATAACTATCATATTCCGCTTGGCATTAGGCTAGTAAGAGCACTCATGCAATACATGCTGAAGTAGTCTTAAAACACAACTGCGGTATGCGACAGAACATGACTTGAAGGAATTAACCTATGCAAATAAAAAGACAAAAATATTTAACCTATTTAAAACTTCACTGTATGCACCCTATGGCTTATAGACCTTGACATTTCTCAAAAAATCAGAGCTGTTTTGAAGGATGAAGTGAGGAAAAGGGCCCAACACAGCACTTTGGACTATCCTGGACTTTTCAGGGCTGCATCTCCTAGGTCATGAGTATCTTCAATTCCCCAGGACATCAAAGGAAACTGAAAAGGCTGCTACAATTTTTGTTTCAGTAGGAGAAATAGAAATAAAAAATATCAATATTCTGGGATGGGGGATTTGTTGGCTGCTGTGAATTCCTACACGTCTGAGTTTCCTTTGCGTGGAGATCTCCATTCAGGTCGTAGGAGGGCAGGAAAAGATGGCGCACACCCAGGCAACATCTTGATACAGAGTTAGGATGTGGCTGGAGTGGACCACATCTAGAAGGAGATTTTTTTTACTAAAGCTGAAAACTATTATATGAGTAGGAAAGCCTAACTAGTTTGGTTTCAGTTTAAAATAGGAGGCAGCACAGGAATATGGCAACCACTGTACAGCGCCCTTCACTGCAGTAAAGCCTGATCTAAAAATCTGTTGAATCATAAGCCCTCACATTTCCTACTACGTTATTCTCGCAACACTGCAGCATCAACATCATGTCACTGCACCTTTTTATTCAACAGACTTCCTTCCTGCATCCTGCTCAAATTGTACGTGCTAACTTCACAGGAAATAAAGCTGTGCATCCCTGTGAATGATTTTATAAAGAAACAGACTTTAAAACTGTAATTTCACTAGTTATCTAATTCTCGTAGGGTCCCTCCCCTCACTTTGGATATCATAATAATCATATCAAACCAAGCTTAATTCTGTTTTAACATCACAACAAACTTCTTTTACAACAGTTTTACTTCTGCTGTGATCCAAAAATTAATCAGGTCGGGGTGAAGCCATTCAAAACCCAGAAGATCTCTCTCCTGCCGATTCTCTCTCCCACTCCTCAAAAATGACTGAAAATAAGTTTATCGTCACCTACATAATACAGCGATTGTTTTCTGTAAAATCCTATTCTAGTTCAGCACTGAAAATTCTTATTTATTTGTTCTGTAAGTGAAGCACAAAAATATAAAAGCTCTCTTCTGGTTTCTTTTTATTTGACTATTAATTCACATTATACACAAGGAGACAAGACAGACCTGGATCAAAGGACTCATGCAGGATGACTTAACTTACATATGTTAATTAAAACCAAGTCTATAATTTCTTAAGATATACTTTGTCCTTTCCCTTAAAAATATTGTTTCCTTCATTTTATATAAATAGAGAGAGCAACCTTTCCTCCTGGTAGGCTTGCCTGTTCAGAATGCATGCAACAAGCATGCACAACCTTTTATGCAAGTGAAGATCCATCACATTTTTACTGATTAGCAGAATTAAGTTACTTAATGAAAAAGATAACTATAGTAAATTTTCTTATAGCATATTATTTCACCTCACTGGTGAAGACTGCGTAAATGGAAAATAATTAGAGTACATACACTGTTAGTAGAAGTATGATATCCATAAAGTTGAAGACGCTGACAAAAACGGGCCAAGCCAAGTATCACATGTCAGAATGAAGCCAAAAGAAGGAAAAAAAAATAAACACAACAGAATAGGTTAAGACAAGTAAATCTTTATTTTATATATTATTAACTTTTTTTTTTTGTTTTTAAAATGATAGTGAAGAAAAAATGGTTTATTTTCAATCTCATTCTTTAAATTTTCAAAAGAGAAGTACAGAGTTGCAGAGATTACTATCAGGAGGAATGTTCCATTTCGTAATCTTTACTTTTTCCAAAAGCTCTTCTTTTGGGTGTAAGTTTCCTTTGTTCAGAATAAACAGTGTGCGAGAGATTCAACAATTGACCTACAGTTTTGAAAAGCTGAGAAGGATAGGCCTCTCTGGGTTGGAAGAAAAGATCCCTTTTTATGCTCAGGGAAGGTTTAAAAAGTATTAATTCTTGAAATTCAAACTTCCTATGGTTTCAGGGACAAAGATGTGAGATCAAGCATCTATGGTCCCAAAAGGATAATGGGCACTATGAGAAGCTTTGCATACATGTCAAAACGTTTCTTATAATAAGGAATTTTTGCCATAGATATGCAAATCACAAATTAACATGTTGTTTTCTGCTGCGGGCTTGACAGAGACTTGTCCCTAACTGTTGCTTGTCCAACAGTAAAATAAGTTCCTGCTACCTCTGCCATCCTCCACACAGACCACCACAGACTTGTCTACTTCTGACTTAACCTTTCTTATGCACATAAGAAATGCAAATTTGACATTAAATGAGTATTCAATATTCCACAAAAATCTATTCATATAATATAAACAACTAAAACCATCTTGCATTGGTCAAAAGCAGGATTTAATAAAAAATTAAATTTGAATATAAAATCTAAGTTCACTTACAACATCAGCTATTTTAAAACTGTTTTTTAAAAATTTTTTATTTTATTTATTT